CGTTGCCTCCTATTCCTCCAGCTCCGTCTGCTTCAGGGTTCGCGAACCATTCCCCTCCCCCGTCATATGGGCCATCTGGTCGTAGACCCCAAGATTCTACTGCTCAACCACCCAGAAATCAACGTTTTCGCGACAAGGATCGCAATGGTCGGGGGAGAAACAGGAAGAATCAGCACCACGCCGATGATCGAAGGGATAGGGACAGGCACAAACATGAAAAGCAGGTGCCCCGTGAACGTGACCCAAGTTCGCAACCGATCAACCCTGCTGAACGGCCCTCCATCAAAGACTCGCCTTACGCTCGCCCGGTCAGCGCCTCTCGCGAACATGGGGTCGGAAACGAACGTGATTGGGATCAGAATCATGGGGCAGACTTTCGCGAGCCGCCCGAGCCGCGCGTTCCTGACGAGATTCGCAGTCCGCTGTCGCGCCCTGCAGAGTTCCATGAGCTTGTCAAGCCCTCAGCAGCTCAAGGTGCCATGTACGTTTACACCAAACTTTGTGATGATATGAATATTGATGATGACCCAAGGCCCGTTCGAGAAATCCCACAATTCGATTCGATGCGGGATGATCCTGCCTTTCGGTCCAAGGGGCAGGCATTCAAGCCTCAGCGTGAGGCTCGACTGACCCCAAAGCAGCCGAAACAGCCAGGCGACGTGGCAAAAGCACCTAGCCCGCAGCCGCCGGCAACGCCCCTCCGCAAGTGGAAAACCCCTGCCGAGATTCTTGCGGGCCCCAGTCCTGCCATTCTCAAAGCCGCAGAAGAGAGGAACAGCAACCGGAAACGACCTCACGACGACACCCGGCGGCAAGACGAGGGCGGCCGGCGACAGGATAAAGAGCCTCTGCGTCGTGAAAGTCATCAAAAGAGACCACGTTTCGATCAAGGCGATTCTCGCGACTCCAATCGATCTGCTTCTCGTCCTGAAACCGACCCAGGTCTCAAGATGAGGCCGTCGTCATCCCACGACAGGGAACGACCGACGTGCTCACCACACAGAAGCTGGGACAGGCCGTTCGAGCAGAGCCCTCGTGGCCGTGACATGCGCGAGCGTTCCTTCCGAGACGAGTCCGCCGGCGATATGGAAGGCCGTCGCAGTCGTTCGAGAGACTCCTTCCACCGCGACAGC